TTGCACAAGCCTATAGTTATTCATCATGCCTTCTACACGTTCAATCTCAACTTATGTAACAAAAAATAATGACATATTATTCATTATATGTGTATTTAACCTCAAATTAATAAAAAAATTATTACAAATTATTCATTATGCATTCTTCATGTTCGATTTCAATTTAAGTAATTAATGAAAAAGTAATTATAAGTTATTTATTATGCATTATACATGTTTGACCTCAACTTCAGTAATTAAGAAAAAAATAATTACAAGGTATTCATCATGCATTTTACATATCCAATCTTAGTTTGAGTAATTAGCAAAAACTAACTACAAGTTATTTATTTTTTTCATTTTGTATGTTCGAATTCAACTTGAATAATTAACAAAAGAAATATTATAGGTTACTCATTATGTGTTTTACATGTCAAACTTCAACTTGAATAATTAACAAAAATAAATTAATTACAAGTTATCATGCGGATCAAATCTTACTATGATTTGAATAAACATGACACCAAAACTTAACATAATAAAAGTGTAATTGAATTAACTATAGAGGTAAATTCAAAATTGAAGTAAAAATACCACGATAAAAAGAAGTCATAAGAACTTGTAAAAACTAGGGCATTACTCGTCTACCAATTATCAATTACCCATAATTTTACATGGATTTAAGAATGAGAGAACTATACTTGGATGAAGAGATCACACCTCCTCAATTGTTCATTCAAAACCCATCATCCTAAAAGTGTTAGCAATTTCTAAGACTTTTTCTATTAGAAATTCAATTATGAGTCTTCACCTTTATATACTACTCCACTTTCTCATTTTTATCCAATGTGAGACTTAGACTCACACTTGAATTTCGAACATTCTCAACCTCCTTCCATTTCTTCTTTTTGTCAACCCAATATGCATTGTCCTTTTCGAGTTGTTTCATCTCATTAGAAAACTATTAAAATTGAGATTGCATATTTTTCTTCTCGTCCATTAACTTGCATTCAAAGATGTTTAAACTTGTCCACATAAGCCTTTTTCCTATTCATTTATCGTTGCATGTGATCAGATTCTTTTATTCTCCTCTCTTCATCGAAAAAGGCTTCTTTAGTATGTAAGCCAATTGAGCAAGCCTCAACGGTGACCCTATTAAGAGAACTGAACATATCTTTCAAAAAAGTTGTTAAGGATTGTCCTTCTAATTGTGGGAGAAATGAGGAATTTTTGGATCCTAAAAGTTCCATGCTCCCCTACCACTAATCCTTTTCTACGGGATACAAATTTTCTATAAATCAATTCCAAATTGGGACAATGAACATTTGACTTGGAGTTACTCAAGTCTACCGGTATTGCACCTACATGTACTAAGTCTTTCTTACCCTATCCAATTAAGTTATAGTCCCCAAAGCCTCACTTAAGTGTCACTAAAATCCAAACCTACCTTGCTTATACCCCTTTTTCAATTGCAATCTCAGTATCCTTTATAGTTTTTTCTCATTCAAATGGTACGAGGATCACCATTTGATATACAAAGTAAAAATAATATTATCAAACATATCATAAATATCAATGTGCATTTTCATATCAACAGTTCAATATTCAAACATTAATAAGGTAACAATCTTAAAAATTGAGTTTAGTTTTTTTAACATTTGCACAATTATTTTTACTTAATTAGTATTATTAAAATTTTTTTTGAAAATAATAGTATAAATAAATATATTATTTTTATATTTCATTTATTGTGTAAATGCAATAGTTATAACTTATTAAGTAACTTAATGTAAATTTGTAAGCTATTTATTTACTTGTTTAGGAATTTAAAAGAAATAAATACTCAATTGGAAAACGCTTGTTAAACACTATTACAAACAAAACCTTTAATGACGGTTAAGAGAAGTTTTTGACAATGGTTTAGAATTTGTCATTAATAAAATTGTTATTATAAATTAGAAATAATTAATGACGACTACAATCATCATCCTTTGAAATACTTATAACGGTAATTTTAATTTTTTTTATTTTCTACTTATAATGACAATTTAGATTAAAATTGTTATTGTAAGTATTTTAAATGATGACATTCTATCTAGTTTACAATCAAATAAATATAATAAAAAAATAAACCAAAATTAAGAAAGAAAACTAACCCACAATGAAAAGGAGATGGGACAACGATTTTTAGATGGAGGAGGCAGCCATGGGGCGTGGGGGGTGGCTGTGTCTAGAGTTGATGAGGGTGGCAATGAAGGGAAGGTGAAAATATTGTCATAGAAATTAGCAAACAGACAATGACAACATAGAGATGCGTGAGTTTGTGAATTCTTTGTTGACATCTTCGTCTATGTTTTCTTGTTAATATGAAACAATAACAAAGGTGATCAAAGAACGGTAGACAAATGAGAGAACAAAGGAAAGAGAAGAAAATGAAGAAAAAACATTTCGTTGAAAAGAGACAAACAACACAAGATAGAAAGAGAAAATAGAAAACAAAACATACAATAACACAAACAATGACAACTCTAGTACTAACTATCGTTGTTTTTTTTAATGACTCTCTTAGTAGTCTTACTTTTTTACTTTTAATCACGATTTCTTGATTAACTATTTGTTGTTTTCATTTTAATGATAATTGAATAGAAAATTATTATTATTTTCTTTATTTTCGATTTTAACAACTGTCTCCACATAATCATCATAAAACAAAATTATTATGTTTACAAATTTATCATTGTCTTTTTTTGTGACTTCTAACCTATACTTAATTTACATCGTTAATGAATTTGTTTTCAGGGTGAAAGTTTTTAAATTGGAAATAATAAAACTAAATGAAATGTATAAATGAGAGTCATGGAAATGATTTTATAGCATATTCTATGATAGTGCAATTCTATACGTGTTATTTAATTTTAGGTGTAAATTTTGTTCCAATAGTGATATCATAACAAGACTTACTTTTATAATTTTTTATAATTTAAAAAGCTAATTTGATTATACAATTAAATATATTTTACTCTAAAACTCAAATTTAAAATTTAAAACATACATGCTTTCACATCCACATATTTTAATATAAATTTCTTAATATGTAGGTCTCAAACCAGTAACCTACATTTTAGATGTTTGTGGAATTAATTAAAATCATATAAGAACTTTAAGGTATGTGTTTTTTTAGTTTTCAAAAAAAGGTTCTGGTAATCAATTTGAAGAACGGCTCTTAAGAATAAGTTTGAAAAGTTACGTGTTTGAAGATCTAGTTTAAAAATTGTTTCAGAGAGATGAGAAAATGTAAAAAAGAAAGGGAATAAGGAGATTTGTGTTGTTCGAATTTTTGAAAAAACGTAACAAGTTTTGATGGCATGTTGAAAAACAAAATGGAAAACTAAAATAGAAAACACAATTTATCTTTTTTTTTTAACTTTTAGAGACATAAAATGAAAATAAATTTTGAAAACTATTTTACCAACACAATTATCAAATACGTTTTAGTTTTTTTAAAGAAACCCTAAGTTGTGCTTACCTTCACTTGAGAGTAGTTGGTGACTATTTTTTCTCCTTTTATTAATTATAAGGATGTCTTATTCCTTTTAACTTTTTTGGTTGACAATGGGTATTAATTATGTAGGACATTCTTGTTTGTGAAGATATTATTTTGCTATAAAATGAGTAGACAGTGGAGAAAATCTTAAGCATATAGCTGAAGATTAGATATTTGATGTGTGCTTCTCTAACTCTTCTGCTTAACTTTTGTGTCTGTTGATAATTTAAACTATAGACAATGTATGTTAGGTTCATTATTAGTGGACATTACTTTAAATAGTTTGTTCTTAGTTTTACTTTGATTTGTAAAGTATATGTAGATAGAAAGAGATTTTATGTTTACATTTTAGTATTTTACAAGTTTAATATAAATACAAAAATATTATATAAATAAATTTCATTTTATTATTTATTATTTTAATATATTATTAAAGTCATTTATATTTTATTCTTTGGAGGATCTCGTCCATACCAATATTTGATGTTTTTATCATAAATATATTTGTTGAAAATTTCACAATAATTCAAGATAATATCAATTTATATTATATAACTTTAACTTATTAAACAATATTTTAAAATTGAATCTTTTTGAATTTTACTAATTTAATACTTATGTTTAATCTTTTGATCATTTAAACCCGTATGTTAGGTTGACTGTTAATGAACATTAGTTTTAATAATTTAATAGGTTTGTTCCTATTTTCATTTTTATGAGTAATGTACAGTAGATAGGAAGAGATTTTATGTTTACATTATAATAATTTATGAGGTTAATAAACATATAACAAGTGTAAAATAAAGTTAAATATCGTATTGGAATTTTTATAGTTTTTATTTCTATATTGTTAGACTTTCAAATTATATTAATTTTGACATTTTAAAATATATTTAAAAATTTTAATATATTTTAAAATATAATAGAAAATTCAGTAAAAAAATTATAAACTCCTTTTTCTAAAAAAATATATTTAATCTTTCAAAACTTTTTCTCCTTAAATATTTAAATTTAAGTTTTGGATTAATTCATCCTTAAACTTCATCTTGTTTACGAATACCATATACCTTCTACTTTAATTTTATTCTAATTTCTTTAATTTTATTAATTTATTAAATAGACAGTTACAAATTTAATTTTATGTAAATAACTTTTCCTTAAATTTAAATTATTTACATTAAATATTAAAAATTCATTAACTTTTCTTTTCGCTTTTAAAACTTTACATTTTACAACTTAAAATAATAATCTATATTATCAATAAAATACTTTATTTTTGCAATTACTTTTTGGAAAAAAAATTATAATTTTAATAATATTTGTATTTAAAATCAATATAATAAATAATATAATAAATTGATAATTATTATAATAATTAATTTTAATTTTTTATTACCATAAAAAATTGTACTATTGGTCATGGAAAATTGATTAAGACAAGAATAACAGAAAACATGGTGTTGAAACACTTGGACCGACCAAGAGGCAGAAACAGAATTAGTTAGAGATTGGGGGTCTTTCCTTTGGCATCAGCAATGGCAACATAGTTTACTTCTTTTGTGGCATCCATTTTCAACGCTTTCAATTCAATTTCAATCAAACCCCAATCTTGAACGTCAACTGTGTCCTTCTTCTGTAGAGAGATTTGTATTGTAATCTAATCAAATCTAAGCTAATAATAATGGCAGCAGTGTCAGGGGGTGAGATATGGAAGGCCCACACTGCCATGGCAATGGTGCAGTTATTCAACGGAGGCTATCACGTCATCACCAAAGTTGCCCTTAATGTTGGCGTCAACCAAATCGTCTTCTGCGTCTTCCGCGATATCATTGCCCTCGCTATTCTCGCTCCCCTAGCTTTTATCCGTGAAAAGTACCTCCCTTTCTCTCTCTATCTATCTATTTCTATCTATCTATCTATCTGAATGTTCGCGTTGCTCTGAAAGGGGAAGTGAATTGATTGTTTTGGTTGTTTGTTTTCAATGTGCTTTATGCAATGCATTTATCATTGGTTGTGTGTTCTATTGGTCCCCCGTTTATACGTCTGTCATCAATTCTACTTTCTTTGATTGTTAGGAGGGGAGCCGGCAGTACCATTTTCTAACATAATCTCTGTAACCCACTTGCGACTATTGGTCAAAACTCATTGGAAACTACAAAATTACCCGTGAATTTCATTAGTAAGAAGTGAAACTCAAAAAACTTTAATTTTTCATAAATTTATACTGATAATAATAAAGGGTGTGTTATTGGTGTCCCCACCTAAATGTCCGTATTAGTGGTGTCTCTCTGTGTTTAATTGATCAAATTATACAGTTATGTATGCCTAAAATGTAGGCCTATCTTCCATCTAGAGTTATAGTTTATAGTATGTTTCAGTAATTAACTAATAACCAAGGGTTATCACGATCGAGGTTTATTTGTCAACATCTCAAGTTTGATTCTGAAAATGCTCATACTTATGGTCAATTTTTGCCTAGATTACAGCTAATTTTATTGTACTTTCTTTGCTCATTTAACTGTGCTATACTGCTTTATATTTAAACTTTAGAAATGAAATTTTAACTTGCTACGCTCTTTTATACCCATTTCTCATCGTCATTGCTTTACTTCTGATGCATCGTTCTCCTAATCATGTCTGGTTTGTAGGCGTACAAGGCCACCGATAACTAAACGCCTTCTCATGTCATTCTTCTTTCTTGGATTAACTGGGTAAGGTTATGGATATAGTGACATATTCTCTGTATTGTTTATGCGTGAACTATAGTGTTTTATTGATGCAATAGTAATTTGGCTTCTTTGTTCATGATCAGGATATTTGGCAACCATCTTTTGTTTCTTATTGGCTTAAGCTATACTAATCCAACTTATGCTGCTGCGGTTCAGCCAGCCACTCCGGTCTTTACTTTTCTATTGGCTGTGATGATGGGGTCAGTTTCTCTCGCTTCAATTTCTACACGTGTATTTTGTCAGTTTATCTTTTTCTAGGACACACAATTCCTCACTATTGTTGCACTGAAATTTATACATTAATTAAATCAAGACGCAACAGGACATAGAGTAATGTGCACCTGATAAACTTATTCATGCAGTACAGAAAGAGTGAACTTGCTAAGATATGAAGGTTTGGCCAAGGTTGGAGGAACTTTCTCTTGTGTTTTAGGTGCTGTACTGATGGTTTTGTATCGTGGTCCGGCATTGATAGGATATTCAGAAACAGACTTTGTATCACACAGTGAAATAAGTGCCAAAGGTCAACCAGAGCCTTCTGGATGGTTAATTGGTGGTTTACTGGATCTCGGATTTGATCAATTTCATCTTGGAGTTTTGTGCTTCATAGGGAATTGCATGTGCATGGCTGCTTTTCTAACCATTCAGGTTCATCTCCTTTTTATATTCTTCAAATGATTGTTGACTACAGGAAGCATTAAGAAAAAAAACTGGTAGTGATCACTGTCATTTCTTATCTCTATTAACTGATATTTATTTGTTAAGTGCCAATTCCATGCATTATACACATGACGTTATTCTCTAATAATCATAGTGTATGTAGTGAACCAGATGGTTCATCTGGAAAACCTGTGAGTGATCCTCTTAGCCATTTATGTTTAGAGATCTGGTCCAATTTTCAGGATTAAGCTAGTGATACTGTCTTGACTTGCTTCAACCCTGTAGACATGTTTACATCTTATTAAGCTGTTTGCAGCTACACCACGACAGTTGTGGAGACTGCAGGTGAAAAGTGGTTCCTTACGTTGAGAACTTTGAAACGGATGTGAAAATCGAGTTTGAACAAGAAAATCAAGCTTGGATGACAATTGAAAAAGTGGTTTTTGAAAGTAAATGAATGAATCAAAATAGTAGAGTAATGTGATGAAAAAAAAAAAGTGAAGCAAAAAATGAGGTTGAATTATTGGAAAAGTAAGATACGAACAAGAACCAACGTGACTAGATTCTTCATAAACAAGAACAAAGAATACTTATTAATTTTGTTAGAATTTTGTAAATATACTAATGGTGGATAGAATTTTATTTTTATGAAGATGTGGGTGGTGGTAGGGTCATGCTTACAACGCCTTGTCTTGTCCTTGAAAAATGGTGATTGAGTGTTCCTTGTTTCTTTTAAGTGGTAACCCCATGGGTTTCTTGGAAACGGCAGCATATATTGTCAACAGAAACTTATACAACTAGTGCTTTTTGTACTATGAGAAATAGAGAAGATTGGGAGAAAATATCCCTTGTGTGTTTAGCATACACATAGGGTAATTTATTTATATTGTAAGATATGGGCCAATGCCCTTAATACAAAATAGACTAAGCCCAAATAACAGAAACACACATATTAACATCTAACACTCCCCCTCAAGATGGAGCATATAAATCATATGTTCCAAGCTTGTTACAAAGATAATCAATTCTAGGTCCTCGTAAGGACTTAGTGAATATGTCTGCCAACAGGTTGCTTGAGTTAACAAACTCAGTCTTGATATCTCCGGATATGATTTTTTCTCGAATGAAATGACAATCAACTTCAATGTGTTTGGTTCTCTCATGGAAGACAGGGTTAGAGCTAATATGGAGAGCAGCTTGATTATCACATATAAGTATCATGTGAGTGACATCTCCAAATTTCAATTCACTAAGCAATTGTTTAAGCCACACAAGCTCGCAAGTAGCTGATGCCATAGCTCTATATTCTGCTTCTGCACTAGACCTTGCCACAACACTTTGCTTCTTACTTTTCCAAGATATCAGGTTGCTACCAATAG